GGTCCCACTGGTTCTCCTAGAAGACTGTGAATGCCACGGGTGAAGCCTTCTTGATGGTGGGTCCCTCCCCTCTCTGGAGATTTCTCCTGTAGCTTCCCAGAGCCTTTTTGTTGTTCCTCTTGAAAACCAGGTACTTGCTAGGGACATGGGCTGGCTGACAGGCAGGCTGGGTCCAGACTTGGAATCTGTGATGTTTAAAGCCGATTAGTCTTATCTCTGGGATCATCCTCAGGTGAGGGTTGTACAGCAGCAGGGCAGGCTGTTCTGCAATGGGGTGTGGAGAAAAGGTGCTGAGTACTTTACCTCTGAGGTCCCAAGCGCAGTGTGCTCTGGAAAGCTGTTGGACAGTCATGGGAGAAGCTGGTTCTCTCATTGGGTGGTAGATGGAGATGTCTGCCATATATATTTATTGGGCTGCTCCTCTGTGCAGAGCTCAGAACCCTGGGAGATACCCATTTCACTCCAGAACTCTAGAAGAAGAGCAAGTGCCATCTGCCTGGCGAGCATGGATTGGGGGTAAATGGGGCAAGTGCCATGCTGCCTGGCACAAGGGGTGACTGCAGAGTCCTGAAGACCTAGTGGGAAGGAAACTCACCAGTAAGGTGATGAAGGCCCTTTCAGACAGAGAGCAGGTTGTGTCCAGGAACAGAGCTCTGGGTCTGTCGGGAGCAGGTGGAAATCCAGAGGGAGCTGCAGGGAGCCATGCAGGTGAGGCTCTGCCCACCCCAGGGATCTTTCCTTGTATAATGTGCCAGAGATTGAACTTTATTTTGAAATGACTGGGAGTCATGGGCAGATTTTCAGCAGGATAATACCACATTATCAGATTTTCATTTTAGAAGAGTAACTCCTGTGGGTGGCTTTGTGACCGATGGATTAAAGAGGCAAGCCCAGTGGCAGGAAGCCTGGCACAGGATAGGGTTTCACAGGTGGTCTTCAGAGAAGGGGGCCTGTTGACCTCGGTATGTGCCTCTGCAGAAAACAGTTGTGATGGCTGACAGGCCCTATGTGAGAGGTTCAGAGTCATTGAAGGTCACAGTGATGTAGGCATCATTTTGTGTGTATTTGCTCATATTCTGATTCTTTCCCTATGTGTGTACACAGGTATGTGCATGGCTTGTATCTTTGTATGAAATATTTTTGTCAACATTGTGCCAGACAGGGGGACTTTCTACACCAAACACTGGAGTGATGGCATTGTACCAGTTTGAGATGGAAGGTTAGGAAAGATTTCCTGGAGTTAATATTTGGGATGAGGTCCCAGTGACAGAAGGAGCTTGCCATGTTGAGTTAGAAGGAGGCTTCTAGGCAAAGGGGCATCTGCAGCATGTCCCAGGTTCTAAGGCTATGGCAGTGGCAGGCAGGAGCCTTAGGGCCCAGGTATCTAGTGTAAAGGGAAACCCTAGCTAGGCATTTTTTTGAAAGCTTCCTTTGGCAGCCATAGAATGGTGAGTGTGGAACAGCGAGGCCAGTTCAGGTCTCCTGCAATAAGACATGGTGGTGGCCCAGGTGTGGGCGTGGGAGGAAAGACAGCAAGAAGTTGAGGTACATCAACTGGGCACTTTTGGGGTACCATGAATGAGCTGAGGGAGACCAACATGAGGAGCAGGTGCATGAGCGGAGTGCTGAGGCAGTTGGTAGGGACCCCATTACTTTGGCGATGGATGCATAGCAGCTCTGAGGGATCAGGTTGGGGACACCAAAATGGATGTGGTAGGCACGGGGTGCTGTGCAGCTGTGGCCCAGTGGGGAAGAGCCTGTTGGGAAGCCAAGGAAGCTGCCTCTGCTCCAGAGCCTGGTCAGAGAAGTGCCACCTCAGGTGCCTCTGGTGATTGTGTTCTGCGACCACTCCTTTCTGGATGGGGCCTGCAGGTCTCTGCAGCCCCTCACTCACCCTCCTCTTGACTTATCCTGGCTGGTACTCAGTCCAACTGTGCCCTTGTGCCCTCTTACTCTGAGACTTGGGACTTGGCACAGCCCTCCTTCTCAAATGCAGAGATGCCCCAGGACAGGCTAGGCCTTTCTGCTTTGGCAGTGGCACCATGTCCATGTCCCACCAGGCTGGAAGCGTGTGTGCCTGTCCCCCTCTCCCAGTGGATATGGCTCTATAAGGCCACGTGATGTCCCCCTGTGTGGACACCAGAGCAGAGTTGTGGGTGGATGTTTGTGTCAAGATTGAGCTCATACTTGGATACCTAAAGGATCAGGGGACCACAGGACCATCCGTAAGAAACTTTCTCTCCTAGTTGTCACACAGGTTATTGATGAAAGCATCCCCCACATGGGGTCAGCACAGCAGGCTTGGAGGCCAAGCTTAGCCCTTGTCTGTGACTGCTTCATGAGGAACTGAGTAGCTACAGTGTAGACCATGTGACTCACAGAGCCCCAATTATTTACTGTCTGACTCTTTACAGAAAGTGTGTTGTGGCCACCCTACACAATTCATCCCTCTTATGGGAAGCCCTGCATAAGACACTCTTTCAGATCTAATGTGAATACTAGGAAAATATTTGCTTCACTTGAGGAATTGTCCTTATGCAGTGTTCACTGGGATGTATGCTCAATTCTTAACATAGTTGCGTGTAGTTTAACAACAGGGACATATCCTGAAAGTGCACCTTCTGGCAATGTCATCTTGTGTGAATATCACAGAGTACACTTATACACACCTGGATGGTACAGTCTTCTGCACACGCAGGCTGTGTGGTAGGGCCTGTTGCACCTGGGCTACACACCTGCATTGCATGTGACTATACTGAATACTGTGGACAGCTGTAACACACTGGTATTTGTGTATCTAAACATATCTACACATAGAAAAGGCACACAGTAATATATATTATCATAAGACCGCCATCATATATGTAGTCTGTCATTGAATGAGATATCGTCATGCAGGCATGCCTATAGTTGTGCCTGTTCCCTGGCTTTCTCAATCTTGGTATTTATATGGGGTGCTCCCCATTTTATGTTTGTGTTCTAAGCACTGTTGTGCTGAGCTCAGAGAAGCAGAGGTATTTCCACAATCCTCTGGGTGGGCATCACAGCACACAGGACATGTTTTCTCCTGTATCATGTAGTCTTACTCTTTCTTTAGTCCCAGTAGAATATTTTGGGATTCTCCAAATAATGGCCCAGTCTGTTTTGACAATTTCTCTTTTAATTTTGCTCATTTTGTTACCAGAATTTTTAGTCATGGTTTTGCCTTTGTAGGCAATCCTTTGTTGTTGATTTTTATTATTAATAATTTCAGGAGTGAAATGAACTTCATGTCTCTTAAAAAGTAATATTCTTGCTGATTTAGGGACTGACTGCTGACTTGAGAATTCTAGTCAGTGTAAAACACACACAACAAAAAACCCCAAACCCTTATATTCCCTTGTTCCTGTTTCTAATGGTTACGTCCGTGGATATTTGCTTTGTGCTGATTCTGGTGGTGTCCTCAGAGAGCTTATTCGCCTTTAGAGGCTTTACTCAGTGCATTGTATGTCACCTTTCACCAAAAGGTTCTCTGTAAATGTGTACTGAATTGGTGACCTGAGGTAGTGGTTTTTTTGTTTTGTTTTGTTTTTTTCTTAAAGAAGACCCACTTACCAAGAATCAGACATATTATATACTTTGGGATGACAGCAATACACAGCCAGATGCTGTCCCCAGATCTATGCCCCAACTTTATGAAAAAGCACTCTCAGAGAAGGGCATCATTTAAGTACTACCTTCTCCAAAAGATGACAGTGGCTCTTGTATCCCAGTCCACACACCCCCATGTTGCCTGGCTGCACGGTGCTTAGCACTGGTGGCCTTGGGTCGATTTGCATGAGTCAAGCCAGGAAATCCTCAGCTAAGCAGTTTTGTGCATCAGAAATGAATGGTGGAACCAGAGCCTAACCAAGACAGGGGATAGTTTCTAGCATGCCTTGGAGAGGAGCAGGCCCTCATGAATGGTCATGGCCACAGTCCCCACCTGTATGGCCAGTGCCTTGGCAGATACACAGAGATGGGGAGCAAGAAGTTTTATTTTTAATTTAAAAAGATTTTTTTTCTTTTGAGTCAGGGTCTCACTCTGTCACCAAGGCTGGAGTGTAGTGGCATGATCATGGCTCATTACAACTTCAACCTCTTGGGCTCAGGTGATCTTCCCACCTCATCCTTCCGAGTAGTTGGGACTACAGGCACGTGCCACCACACCTGGCTAATTTGTTTGATGTTTTTGTAGAGACAGGGTCTGACTATGTTTCCTTAGGCTGGTCTCGAACTCCTGGCCTCAAGTGATCCTCTGCCTCAGTCTGGGATTACAAGCATGAGCCACTGCACCTGACCATGAGAAGTTTTTAGATACTTTTAGCAATTTGAATAATAATGAAATAATTGGACTTGTATATCTTTGTTTTTTAATTTTTTTTCTAGCATTTTTTAAAAAATGGTTTTATCAAAGTATTAGTCCATTATGGATTAGAAAGAAAATAACAAAATAGCCCACTCTTGGGGTGGTGAACCTTCCAGGAGCCTGAGTTCCAACTATAGGGACTGGATGTTGGGTGGGAAGAGGCGTTGATTCTCAGGGACTGACCTAGGTTTCAGTCCTCGCTCAGCTACTTAGCAGCCTCAGTTTCTCAGTTGTGAAATGGACAGAGCACTTCATGACACTGTTTTATAGAAGTAGCTCTTATAACCGTGCAAATCATGTTTCCCATCTTTCCTTCCTCTGCTTCCTCTGGATTTACTGCCCCCATTACCTCTGCTGGAGGACAAGGATAGTAGAGAAAAAGCTCTTGGCTGAATGGCTGGCGAGCCCTTGCTGCTTTGTGGTTGTGGGCCTTCCTTAACTGCTCCAGAATTCGGGGTGTGACCAGACAGCTGGTGATGGATGGGGTAGAGCATCATGCTGTTTATGTGACTGCAGTGACTGCAGACAGAGACTCTGAGGTGGGCATTGTGGAAGGAAAGTTAGAGCCCTGAAGGCACCCTGTGCCTTTCTTTTCTTTACTGCTGCAGCCACCATGCTGCTGTCGGGCTCAGAACAGGCCCTGAATGAGCTGCTGACACGCAAGGAGGAGGAATGGAGGGCACTGCAGGCCCATTGTGCCCAGCGGCAGGAGGTGGCCCTGCGGGACATGTACAACCAGCTGCAGGAGGTGCAGGGAAAGCTGCAGCGCTTGCAGGAGGACTTCATCTACAACCTGCAGCTGCTGGAGGAGCGAGACTTGGAGCTTGAGCGCTATGACACCGCCTTTGCCCAGGCCTGGGTGTGGGAGGAGGCCCGGCAGGCAGAAGTGAGCGAGCTCAAGATCCAGGTGGCCAAGCTGAAGCAGGCACTTGCCCAGGAGACCCTGCGGGTGGAGGAGCTACAGCAGCAGCAGCAGCTGAGGTTTCAGAAACATCGCTTGGAGCTGGAGCGCATCCACAGGTGAGGACCCAACAGACACGCTTTCTACTGGAGTGCCAGCTGAGGCCCCACACGCCTTCTGCTCCCACTGGGCTGCCTGGGCTCTGCCTGTTTCACTGTCCCCTTATCCCAGGCTGCAGACTACTGGCCACAAGGGCTGGTCAGTCTTGGCCGAGTGCCTATTAGCCTCTAAATAAGTATTTGTCAAATGAATGTAGACAAGACAGTGCCCTGGATGTCTTTTTCTGGGCTCCAATATGACTCTGAAATTATTGGAGATTGGTTTAAATTTTTGAATTTGTTTCATTAATTATAAATCAATGTTGTTTTAATAAAACTATTTGAGCTTACAATTATTTTAATGTGATATATATAGTCATTTCAAAACTAAACGATCTGACTTCAGGCAAGTTGACATAAAAACCTAAAGCCTTTGTCTTGAGGTCCTGTGGTGGGAATTCTGGAGCTCCCCCATGTCTGTTGACCCCTCAACTCCTCTCACCACCACCCCCCACATTAAATGTGTAATAAGATAATAGGAAGGATAAGACAGACTTCATTTAAAAGATCTTTCCCTGACCCTCCCATTTCAGAAGTAGCATGTTTATTCTGTCACATTAACAACTAGAGTAGCCAGGAATGGTGGCTAATGCCTGTAATCCCAGCACTTTGGGATGCTGAAGCGAGAGGATTGCCTGAGCCAAGAGTTCAGACCAGCCTGGGCAACTTGGCAAGACCTTATCTCTACAATAAATTTTTTAAAAATTAGCTAGGTGTGGTGACATGCCTGTAATTCCAGCTACTTGGGAGGCTGAGGCGGAAGGATCACCTGAGTCCTGCAGGTCGAGACTGTGGTGACCATGAGCATGCCACTGCACTCCAGCCTGGGTGGCAGAGTAAGATTCGACTCAGAGGAGCAAAAAACAAACAACCCCCACCCCAAAAAACAACTAGAGTGTATCTTTGTGGTATTTGTTTCTCTGTGTGTGATGTGTATACTCAGAACATCAAGGGGAGAGCACATTGCGGAGTCTGGTCACACTTAACAGGATCCTGAATACTCTTTCATGTTGTTATATATTCTTCTAATATAAACATCACCTTTTTTTTTTTTTGAGTCAGAGCCTCACTTTGTTGACAAAGCTGGAGTGCAGTAGCATACTCACAACCACTACAGCCTTGACCTGTTGGGCTCGGGCGATCCTTCCTCCTCAGGCTTCCAAGTAGCTCCAAGAAACGAAACTACAAGCACGTGCCATCATGCCCAGCTAATTTTTTATTTACTGTAGGGATGAAGTCTCGCCAAGTTATCCAGGGTGGTCTAAACACTTGGGCTCAGGCAATTCTCTCACCTCCACCTCCCAAAATGCTGGGATTACAGGCATGAGCCACCATACCTGGTGCAAACAGCATCTTAAAGCACTTTTTTTTTTTGAGTTGGAGTCTCACTCCATCGCCCAGTGCAGTGGGACATTCATGGCCACCCCAGTGTCGACCTGCTGGACTCAGTAATCCTTCCTCCTCAGCCTTCCAAGTAGTCGCAACTACAGGTGCATGCTACCATGCCTGGTTAATTTTTTTTTTTTTAGTTGAAGTCTCATTCTGTTGCCTAGGCTGGAGTGCAGTGGAACACTCATGGCCACCCCAGCATCGACCTGCTAGGCTCTGGCGATCCTTCTGCCTCAGCCTTCCAAGTAGCCATAACTACAGGCGCATGCTACCACTCCCAGCTAATTTTTGATATATTGTAGAGATGAGGTCTTGCCAAGTAGCTTGGGCTGATCTTGAACCCGCAGGCTCAGGTGATCCACTTGCCTTGGCCTCCCAAAATGCTGGGATTACAAGCTGAGCCACCAAGCCCGGCTCCAGCTAATTTTTAAATTTTTATTGTAGAGATGAGGTTTCGCCAAGCTGCCTGGATTGGTCTCCAACCCGTAGGCTCAGGCAGTCCACTCGCTTCGGCCTCCCAAAGTGCTAGGATTACAGGCTGAGCCACCAAGCCCAGCCTAAAGTACTTTTAAAAAATCATAAAAGTAACATGTTATTATAGAAAGCCATTTCTTGTAGACGATGAAGAGGTAAATCATCAAAGTGAAAGCCACTACTAGTGGTCTATTGTGTTGTTTCCAGGACCCAAAGAGAACCTCTAGCATACACTGCTCCAAAACTTACTTCTGGCAATTCCTGATCTGTTGTTGGCATCTCTTCTTTGTGTCAGTGTGTTGAGTTCTGCCACATCCTTTTGAATGACCACTGGCCCTCTGTTGAGTGTGCTGGGCCCATTTACTCAGAAGGGTCTCAGATGGGTATGGGCTGGTCAGCAGGACAGTTCAGACATTCCTGTTCAGCAGAGGTACTTTCTATGGCAGGCAGAGAGGAGACCTGCCTCAGCTGGTGTGGTGCCACTCTGGCTCAGAACCCCCGATCCACTGGAGTCAGTATCTTCTATAACAGTCCACAGGCATAGCTTCCAGGGTCCCTGCAACAGATGTACCCGGCACAAGAGTCACTGTTCTCAGGGAAGCCCAAGGTATTTATGGATCCTCTACAGCATCTACAGTGCAGATGAAATGTGCCAGTCAGTGGGCATTTGACCCAAGCTGTGCTGCTTGGCAATGTGGTGCATACCCATGTGTCACTTTCCCAGGAGACCAGAGAAAGAGCTAACTGGAACTGGAGGTTAGCATCTCCCTCAGTGGAGAAGGGTCTTGGGATGCTCCCATCCCCAGTGTGGATGTTGACACCCAGGTTGCTCCTCACCCCACTCTAAGTCCACAGGTAGGTGCAAGGGGTGCTCTGACAGTTGTGGCTCAGTTGCCCTCTCTGAGTCTTGACTTTCTCATAACTGTTTTTGAGAGTTTAGAGAATCTATTTAAACATGGCTTACATTATTTTGTGAAGTATCTTCTCAAGTCTTTTACCCATTTTTTTCCCAAACCTTGGATGTTTTCAGCCACATTTAAATACTGTCTCAGTCATATACTCTTTTTCCTTCCATTCTGGGACTCTAATGATATGAGTGATAGATCTTTTGTTATTTTCCCACAATTCCCTGGGGCTTTGTTCATTTCTTTTTTGTCAGTTTATTTTCTCTCTGTTATTCAGATCAGATGATTTCTGTTCTGTCTTCAAGTTTGCTGATTTCTTCCTCTGTCATAGTCATTCTGCTGTTGAGCCTGTCCAGTGAGTCTAGTATTTTATTGTGATTATTGTACTTTTCAGTTCTTTTTTTTTTTTTTAATGAGAAAGCAGGATTTATTGAGAGGACAAGAACTCCCACAGTGGGAGGGGACCCAAAGGGGTTGCCCACAGTTCTTAACTTTCCATTTGATTTGTTATATCTTCTTTTACTTTGCTGAAATTTACTCCTTCTGTTTGTTTTACTAAATTGTTTGTTGAAGCATTTTTATGATTACAGCTTTAAAATCTTTGTTAAGCCAGGTACAGTGGCTCAGACCCATAATCCCAGCACTTTGGGAGGCTGAGGTGGGAAGATCACTCGAGCCCAGGAGTTTGAGTCCAGCCTAGGCAACATAATTAGGCTTCATCTCTACAAAAGATAAAACAATTAGCCAGTTATGGTGGTGTGTGCCTACAGCTACTTGAGAGGCTGAAGCACAAGGGTCACCTGAGCCCAGTGAGCCATGATTGCTCCACTGCACTCCAGCCTAGGTGACAGAGTGAGACCCAGAGTTCAAAAAAAAAATCAAGCCAGACACGGCGGCTCAAGCCTATAATCCCAGCACTTTGGGGGGCCGAGGTAAGAGGATTGCCTGAGCCCAGAGGTTCAAGACCAGCCTGGGCAACTTGGTGAGACCTCGTCTTTACAATAAATCAAAAAAGTAGCTGGACATGGTAGTGCATGTCTGTAGTTCGAGCTATTTGGAATGCTGAAGTGGAAGGATCGCTTGAGCCCAGCAGGTTGAGGCTGCAGTGGCCACGAGTGTGCTGCTGTACTGCAGCCTGGGTGGCAGAGTGAAACTCTAACTAAAAAAAAAAGAAAAAGAAATCTGTGTTATCTTGGTGTTAGTGTCTGTTGTTTGTCTTTTCTCATTCAAGGTAAGATTTTTCTGGTTCTTGGTATATCAGGTGATTTTAAAAAATTGTATCTGGCTATTTTGGGTTTTATGTCGTGAGACACTAGATGCTATTTAATTTTATCTTTTATAGTTACTCTGTTTGGGAGTAGCATGCAAGTCCAGGTGGGGTTGGAAGTTTTGCTCCCTTCCAGGCCCCACTGAAGCCATCCTGCAAAAGTGAAGCACTGACTCCCACATTTAAAATACACCCTGCTGGCTGGGCTCAGAGGTTCAAGATCAGTCTGGGTAACTTAGTGAGACCTTGTCCCTACAGTAAACCAAAAAGTATAAGCTGGGCATGGTAGCACGCGCCTGTAGTTCCAGCTACATGGAAGGCTGAGGTAGAAGGATCACCTGAACCCAGCAGGTCGAGGCTGCGGTGGCCGTGAACATGGGCAATAGAGTGAGACTCCAACTCAAAAAAAAAAAAAAAAGCTCTACAAATGTATACATTTGGTGAATATTCCATATGACTTTTCTCAATGTTGTGTTTTACTACTATAGTGACAAGAATGGTGAGATCGACCACCATCGAGAGCAATATGAAAATCTGAAATGGAGGCTGGAGAGAAAACTTGAAGAACTTGATGGTGAACTGCTCTGCAGAGACAGGTAGTTGGTCCCTTCCTGGGGCTTTCCCACTTTGAAACTTAAATTGTACAAGGTTGAGTAAAAGATGACCATTTTGTTCATTGACTGTGTCATCCATGGGAGTAAAAGTGGGGTCTTTGGGGCAGATTTCCACTTTTGAGTGGGCTGTAGGGAGATATGATGGGATGTCTGGATTGTCCTTCTAGTAACTCCCACAGTGTTCTCTGGAAGAGTTGGTAAAGGTTCTCCGGGGAAACAGAACCAATATGAGATATGTAGATAGAGAGAAGAGATATATTACAGGAATTGACTCATGCAATTATGGACACCACAAAGTCGCATGGCTTGCTGTCTGCAAACTGGAGAACAGGAAAGTTAGTGGTGTAATTTAGTTTGGATTCAAAGGCCTAAGAACCAGGGGGAAGCTGGTATGAGTCATGGTCCAGCTCTGAAGGCCTAAGACCCAGGAGCCCAGTGTCCATGGGCAAGAGAAGGTAGATATCTCAGCTCAAGCAGAGAAAATTCCCCCTTCCTTGCTTTTTTGTCCTGTTTGAGTCCTCAGTGGATTGGATGATGCCCATCTATGCTGAGAAGGGAAGATCTTCTTTACCCAGTCTATTGGTTCAAGTGCTAATCTCTTCTGGAAATACTCTCACAGATACATTCAGAAGTAATGTTTTATCAGCTATCTGGGCATCCTGTAGCAGTCATTTGACATATAAAATTAACCAGCACATCTCAGAAATGGTTAAACACTTCCTTATTTATTTTAGAAAAAAGCAGTATTTTGAAAACTATTTACTCAGGAAGAATTTGGAATTCAAATTATGATAATTATTTCTTTCAACAAAACAGTGAGTGTTTATAAGTTTAAATATAGATGTTTCAACTGATAGATGGCACTTAAGCCCATCACCAAATTTCTCCTTGGTGTTCTTAAAACTCAGCCCACACCTCCAAAAGACTCAGACACGTTGGGTTTGATTGAAAGATATCCTACACATTTATGTCCAGAGACTACATCCAGCAGTGCTGTAACTGTTTGCAGGTATGATGTGAGACTGGGTCTGTGAGGTACAGCTGTGATGTAGAACTGGGTGTGAGGTACAGGTGTGACTTGGGACTGGGTATGTGAGGTGCAGGTGCAATGTGGGGCTGCGTCTGTCAGGGGCAGCTGTGATATGGGGCTGACTCTGTGAGGCGCAGGTGCAATGTGGGGCTGGGTCTGTCAGGAGCAGTTGGGACATGGAGCTGGGTTTGTGAGATGCAGATGCAACATGGGGTTGGGTCTGTGAGGCACAGGTGAGTTGTGGGGCTGGGGCTGTCAGGAGCAACTGTGACAGGGCTCGGTCTGTGAAGCACAGGTGCGATGTGGGGCTGGGTCTGTGAGGCGCAGGTGTGATGTGGGATTGGGTCTGTGATGTGGGATTGGGTCTGTGAGGTGCAGGTACAGTGTGGCCCTGGCTCCATTGGGGCAGCTGTGACATGGGGCTGAGTCTGTGAGACACAGAAGCAACGTGGGGCTAGGTCTGTGAGGTGCTGGTATCATGTGGGGCTGAGTTTGTCAGTAGCAGCTGTGACATAGGGCTGGGTCTGTGAGGCACAGCTGCGACGTGGGGCTAGGTCTGTGAGGTGCAGATGTGACATTGTGCTGGGTCTGTCAGGAGCAGCTGTGACATGAGGCTGAGCCTGAGGTGCAGGTGTGATACGGGGCTGGGTCTGTCAGGGGCAGCTGTGACACGGGGCTGGGTCTGTGAGGGCACCTGTGATGTGAGGATGGGTCTGTGCAAGTATGACAGGGTCCCCTTTTGTACTCCTGTTGGATGTTGGGAGCTTGGTGTATGGCATAGGCCAATGTTTGTGGAATTTGCTGCGTGAAACCCTCTGTACTTTTGTGAATACACGTGCTCTTCACAACAGAGACACATTTGTTTCCCATTTACTCTTATTTTTAGACTTATGTGTGTGATTTTGGAGCAGAAACTGACCCTGGAAGTCAACCTGTGCTGTGTTCCTGTTTCTACCCCTTCCTGGCAGAGTGATATTCATGATCCCTTTAACTCTGGGTTTGCTCCTAACCTCTTGAAGGATGCATCACTGGACTGATAATGATGGTGTGCCTGTGGTGTGCTGGCTCTGCTCTAGACATTGGGCACAGCAGGTCTCAAAGCAGGCAGAAATCTCTGTGCTCCTAGACTTTCCATGCTGGTGGAGTAGGTACAGAGTCATGGCAGACTGATGTCCTAAGAGAATCACTGTGCCAGCTGGGGCTGAAAGAATGCGTGTGGACACTGAGTCTTCCACCAACCTCGCCCTTGTGCCCAGCCAGGTTTTCCAGCTGGGTCAGCAGAGAAGAGACCATGCTCATGACATGACAGCCCTCATGTGGACTTCATGTCCAGCTGTATGTTGCCCTTCATCTCCTGGAAGTGCTGAGTTCATGCTCTACCATTCTCACATGTCCTTGAGATTGCTTCTGAAAGTGCCTGAAGGGGACTTTCTTTTGGATTCTCAGGGCAGAGACCTTTGTCCATTGTGGGTGAGTTTGGCTTTCAGAGACCTTCATGCTATAGGTCTTTAGGCATGAAGCTGGGGCCTGAATGTGTGCTGAGGAAGAGACTAAGGGTAACTTTTCTAAGTAACGAGGCTTCCACAAGTGGTTCCAAAGTCACTTCCAAAGAAGGACTTTCAGGAGGACTTTAGCAGTGGGGGGTTGTCCCAGCCAGTAGGCAGGTGGCCACTTGGTGGCATTTGCAGGACAAGAGCAATTTGGGAAGGGTTGTGGTTGGCTGGGTTCATCTTGTAGGACTTCTGACTGTCCCCTCACAGAACTTCTGAGACTTTCTGGGGCTCATTCAGGTAGACCCCCACAGCATCTGATTTACATGGGTTTTTATTGTATTCTGATAACAGCCCAGGAGCACAGGGCACCAGCTCTAGGGGTGCTCTGTTCAACTTTCTGCATCTCAGCCTTTTAATTATTATTATTATTTTATTTTATTTTATTTTTTTAAGTTGAAGTCTCACTCTGTTGACCAGGCTGGAGTACAGTGGCATGCTCACGGGCCACCACAGCCTCAACCTGCTGGGCTCAGGTAATCCTTCCACCTCAGCCTTCCAGGTAGCTGGAACTACAGGCTACAGGTGTGTGCCACCACACCCAGCTAATTTTTTTATTTATTGTAGAGATGAGGTCTTGCCAAGTTACCCAGGCTGGTCTCGAACCTGTGGGCTCAGGCAATCCTCTCATCTCGGCCTCCCAAAGTACTGGGATTATAGGCATGAGCCACCGGGCCTGGCCAGCCTTTTAATTATTAGGCTGGGTGGGGTCTTACATGCTTATCTGCTTTGTGGTTTCCTTTAGGTTTGTTTCTTTTTTTTTTTGAGTTGGAGTCTCACTCTGTCACCCAGACTGGAGTGCAGTG